ACCATCTGAGATCCCCAGGGTTAGATATGTGACATTGATAGCTATCAGGATACATGGGACATGGTGGTTACATTTTTGCAGGATTCACATCAGACTGAGCCGGAGCTGCGAATGGGTTGTCTAATATTTATATTGGGCCAAAGGGGTCAGTGCAGCAGCCATCTTGCCTCTAGAGCTGCAGATGATGTATCGGTTTCAGAAAAATATGCACCTCCATTTCCCCATGAAGGTCACTAACCGGGAGCAGGTGAAAAACCTGGGTCCAATGATAAAAAAGGCTGTAATTGCCACTGATTGGCAGGGTTCTCCCTTGATGACTACAGCTCCAGCTGCGACACCTACAAGCTCCTTTATGAGTAAACTTGGAGATGGTAAAAAGAAGCAGAACATTTGGGAGGGAGAATAGATTCAGAAGTGGCCCTACGGTGGCCTTATGCGGATTCCCCGGTATGGATTGATGCGGTAGGTATACCGAGAGGAGTTCCGGATGAGTATAAATTGACCAACCAGATTGCAGCGGGTTTTGAGTCTATATTTCTTTGGATCATGCCTAAAAAATTGGGGTCACAGAAATGATGTACACTAAAACGTTTAACGCTTGTCGAACTACACCTATGATGGTTTTGAGGCTGTGCACAGACAGCTCTCAGCGACCTCCCTGTCCTATATGAACAGGCTCGCCTTGGACATGGTCCTGGCTAAGGAAGGGGGAGGTTGTAGTAATATTGGGGACAGTTTTTGTTCTTACATTCCAGTACATACAAGTGGATCACTGATGAATGCTTTGAAAGGACTGAATCCCTATCAGTAAACTCATTATCCAATCTGTTTGGTTCATGGTTTGGAAAACGGGGAAATCTTTTGGTGAGTATTTTCACTTCCACCATTATTGTCGCTGTTGTCATGGCAGTTTGCTGTTGTGCGCCTTGTATCCGTGCTCTCATCCTTAGGTGCATAGATAGAGCTATAAGGTCTTTTGATGGAAGTAAATTGGGTGGAAAGGCCACCTACCAGATGCCACTGACTGGTGTTAAGGGAATATGAGCAGGAGGAGCCGGTGATCCGACTGATGCGGACGGAGGAGGGTGATGTATGAAGGAGACAGAGCATTCAGATAATCAAGATGTATAGTGGGTAGATTTTATTAATTACTTTTCATTATGATAAATGTTTCATAGTTTTGGATTATAGAATAGTAATGAATGGGGACCATTGACTGTTACAGGCACATCAGCGGCACAGTGTTTTTTTATTTTTATTATTGTGATTTTATAAACTTTTTAGAGAAACATTGTGTCTAGAATTAATGATGGATGGTGCCAGAGTCCTTATAGAGTAGGGCTAATCGCTTCTTTCAGGTGTGCCATGGAGATGCCCGTCTACTGTGGGAGGACGTCCACCTGGGGGGGGGGGGACCACGGAGGACTTTGAATGATTTATGCTTAGGGTCTACGATATACTGATTCCATGATGTTAGAGTAGATTTTATTGCTGTGCTTTTAGGCTTTTTCTTCCTTCTGTTTTATTTAGAATCCAGATCATACACACACACTTTTTGGGGTTTGAACTTTATTTTTTTAGAATTGTGATACATTAGGGCTCTGTCTGCAAGCGCACACCGGGGACCCACCTGAGAGATGGCGTTCGGTACCCTTGAGAGGGGGGGCAAGGGTTTTTTCCGAACTACGTGACGGCTGGAAGGGGGTCCTTCGGTCCCATATAGGTTTCTAAGCACACACTTCAGGGTTGGGTGATTTTTTTCCTGGGGAGGGGGGGTTGCCCAATTACAGATGCTCTCTGAGTCACCTGGTGATTCAAGGGATGTGTCACTTTCTGTGGTTTAAGTTACCTGTAAACAGTTACTTATCAGGGGGAGTTGTTAGATTTATTCTTTATTAATATTGTGTATTGTTAATCTATTAGCCAGATTAGACGGAGTAGAAGGCCTTCCTTCACACGGTGGATTACACTGTGTGAACAGAGGCCGTCTAATGAGGACCGTCTTCTTGTCTTTGGAAGATACACAGAATAAGGACACATCCTGGAGCCGGACTGATAGAGGAGAGCTGTCTGTAATCCTGAGGCATGGAGGCAAGATGCATACAGGTCAGGGCATGGATGACGTGTCGGTTTCTGACACGAACAGCTAAGCATCCACCTGATGCAACACATAGACTCATGAGGTATAAGAAGCAGGAGATGACCTCGTTCGGGGCTCAGTTTGCCGGATGCCAACGCTCGCTGACGTTTTGAGCCCACAGCTGTGCCGACTCCAAGCATTTTCTCTGTCCTGTAACGACCTGAACTGGAATAAACTCTGTTACTTTTTTACTCCTGTTTTTATTGTCCTTTTTATATCATTTTACCCAGTTTTGAGTTCAGTTTCTCCCAGGAAAAGAACTGGAAGGGAAGTTCAGAGCCTTCAGGGGGACCTAACTTCCTTAATTAACACTTGACTTAATTTAAGTTAAAATACAGTTTTCCATAAAATCTGAATTAGAACACAAGAAAAACTGATAAATTCAGGTGTAACAAATACAGCCTTTTTGTTTCCATTTAAGTAAATATTTAGCAGATGACAACTAGGATCCCATCTCAATACCACTGAAACTATCACCTTATTGTTTTTAAACAGAATTTGCAAAGAAAAAACATGAAATGGATCCAAAGGACCAACCAGTAACCATGTCTGTTCCAGCGCAGATCATCATTAGAATTTCTTTGAGAATTATGTCTTTAGTGCAGGAACCATAAAACAGGGGCCAGGACATGACCTACCCGTTGGGCCCAGTATAGAACCGCCCATGTTACCCACATTAAAGCTCTTACATCTACTAGTTTTATTTAAAAAGTTGACTTTATTTACTTCCATCCATAATCTCCTGACAGGATAAAGATGAATTAATAAAACACTTAACATTTAATAAAGAAGAACAACTTCCTGTTAGCAAATCGGTTTATTAAATTCCAACTATGTGCTTAAAGTGGTTTACTGCACTAAATGCTAGTTGAAGTGATTTTAGTAAATCAAAAAGGTTTTAATAAGTTATCAAATTATTGATACCACTCCGTTATATTTGTATTATAAAGTAGTTTTATGGGGAAATAAATATAAAGAAGTGAAAACTGTGTGATACTTTATATTTCTGTATGTGTTCATAAAAAGAACGGTATGAGGAGATAAGATCACATAAATACCTTCAATCAAATGTTTCTTTTGAACAAAATGAGGAAGAAAATAATGATGCAGTGCTTTTTTTATATATATATATTTATGTGTAAATGTAGGAACTACATTGCTTCAATTATTTTATAAGTTATCATTTTATATATAATTTTTACCTTATTTAGTGAAGCTCTTCATGATGAGATTTTATTTATTTCTATATCGGCACTGATGTGACTTTAAACTGTGGGAATGAAACCATTGCAAAAATCCATAGTGGATTCTTTGATATCAGTAACTGGTTCATGATGAGATGAGGAATTTATTTCGCACAGGTACGGCTGAAAGTGCGCATGCTCAGAAAAACATAACTGGGGACGAGCACGAAGTACCGCCTTAATGTAAACATGTCACCAGAATGATTGACGATTAGGAGGACCACTTATTTAGATGATCCACCCGTTAAAAAACCAAACAAAACTCCACTATACCTTTAATGAAACAGATGATCAATCTGGTTTGCAGGTAATTGGACAGCATCTTTCATTCAGACATGGATCCCGTGTCTGGGCTGATCTCCTGACCAACTCTCTCCTGGCTGTGATCATCATTCTGTCAGTTTTTATAGATGAGGATTTTGCTTTAAGATAATCCTGCATTAAACTTCCCCTTTTATCTGTGAGCTGCATTCTTCTTGGTCTTCATGTCGTCCTCTAACTTCTACACAGAAGGATCAATAATCACTTCTCAGTTGATGTCTGGATGGATCCCAATGGATAAGATCTATTTTAATGCAACATTTTAAATTTAAAAAAGCAGAACTAACATTAATAATCTGGCTTCTTCCTACTTTACACCACCCCCAATAAAATACTCAAAAATAATTTAGCAAAACACATTCTGCTGTAAGCAGCCATAGGAGCGACTGAAATGGATTAAGTGTCAAAATATTAAAAAAATAAAACACACAGAGCTGAAGTGGAGTAAAAAATAAAAACAAAGAACAGGGCAGAGTGTTTATTGGTTCTCAGTCTTCACACCAGGCAGCACATCACTCAGAGAGGTCACAGCGCTCGCCACAGTCATGACACAGGTAGACAGAGACACGGGGTGGGGGTGGGGGGTCAGGAAGGGTCAAGCCGCCATCGTCCGGCACTGTGATCCAACCACGGCTGCTGCCGTCACTGGTAAATGATATCCAGCAGAGAATAAACAAACGTCCTCAGGTTGAAAACTCTGCTCCACTTCAATCAGCTCAGCCATTTAAAACAGTTCATACAAAGGGAAGCTGTACAATAGCAGAGCGGAGGGTCATTTAAAGGAAACCAGCTGGGAGAGCAGATCAAAGGAGGTTTAAAGGGTGACTAATACCAAAGGAGGGCAATGCTGGCTCAGACTGAAACATCCCAAAACAAATGTTTCCGTTACGTTGACCATGCCCTGTGCAGACTGGAATAGAAAACAATAATAATAATAATAATAATGTAAACCCAGGTAACAGTGAGGGGAAACATCACAGAAAGTGCTCGTCACGATCAATACACTCAAATTCACAGATGCCCATAAAGCACTTAATTGCTGTGGTATAAAACTCAGTTACATTGGATGTTATTTCATTTTTCATTGTCAATTAGCATCAGATAAAGCAAAGAAAAGAAAAGTGATTGCTGTCAAGATTGGCGTCCATCCCAGCTACTTTGCTCCGCAGTCCTTCCTGCAGATTCTCACATTCTTCGTTTTGATTCTCCCTCGGCTGCGCGTCGTCACTCGCTAACACAGCAGTTAGGAAGCAGGATCCAGGGTCAAGTCCGGTTTAACCCTGTTTTTTGAAACACCACCCGGATCCACAGTTTGTGGCACTGTCCCTCTTTCTGCTGCCGATCCGGCTCAGGGTCCCCCCTTTCTTCACTCGTCCAGTGCAAAACAAGCCGGCATGGAGTCGTCAGTCACACGGCTGATTGGGTAAGCCGGTCGCCCGCCGCCGCCCAGCTGCTCAGCAGTGACAGGCGGCCTCATCTGGCTTTGATTACATTGCTTTTTCTTAAAAAAATAGACAAGTATGAACAGGCACCCAAATCCTCACACATCCTTGCTGCAACCGTCACATTACGTCTGCCTTTCTTTGGCGTCCTCATTCATTCCTCGACAGGTTCGTCCGCATTAACATCACCGTTTTTTTCTTCCTGAACTCATTCTATCCAAATACATGTCTGAGCAAAACAAAAGTGGCTAATTTGAACTTAATCTGTACAGGATGTTGTGCTAAAGGAGAGTTTTCTTGGTGGGTGAGACCGTGACGTGGAAATGACCTCAGAGTTTCATTAAATGAGGTAACAGAGAGACGGGCGCTGCACTAATCATTTCCCCTCATAAAGCACCAGAGGCAGTGTGAGGGGGTAGGGTGGGGGGTCAGGCTGTGTAAACATACAGGTGCATCTAAATAAATTAGACCCTCACCAAAAGAATTGGCTTATTTCAGTTATTCAATTAAAAACCTGCCGGTTATAGAATATAAATTCATTATAATCGAGCCGAGCTTTTATTGCTGTAAAGCTTAGAACCAAAGCAGATGCTCACACCTCCCTATAGCAGCGTGAGCTACACACGGCCACCGCTAAGGACGCTTTCATCCAGGCAGATTAATGGAAGGTTTAGTGGAAGGAAAAAATATGTGGCAGGAAGGCGCCTTTTTTTTAGATTTTGGGGTTCGATTCAGTCGTTTTCCCAATAAACTGTTCTCCAGTGAGTGTGGCGTAGTGCCAGTGGGAAGATGAGACACGACAGAGCAATACGGATCAGATAAAGGTAAAACTGCTGGTTTATGGCCTCTAAGCTACGCAGCAGCGATGCAGGAATTCAGGCAAAAAGGAGCAAAGATCAACTGCTGAGTAAATATACTTTACAGCTATTGGATATTTATTTTAGCAAGTTTATAATTCTTTACTAGCTTATGGAATGACTAAAGTTGGGATAAACTGCGCTGCTGTGTTTTTATTGCCGTAAACTTTTACAATTTGAACTGAAATAAACCAGAGTTTGATGATTTTCTAATGAATTAAGAAGCACCAGTAGAATGTAAACTAACGCTGGATTTAAAAAAGAAATTCTCTCTGAATACCTGCCCCCCCCCCGCCCGTCTGTTCAGGTTTTTAAATTAGTAGTCCTGTGGCACACTGACCGCAGCTAATAACCCTCCAACGTCGCATCAACCTGAGGGAAATTAAGCAGTGAAGTTAACCTCACTTGGCACCAATTTCAACCTATTAGGCTTTTATTTCTCCCCTCCAACCAAGACGCCATGTTGGTAGGGTCTAAAAGCCGAGCTGGGACTGGTTTAAGCTCAGAAAAATAAAAAAAGGATAAATTTTCTGAGTAAATGTTCCTAAAGTAGAAATAGAAAAAACAGAAAAGCACTAACATTCGTAACAGACAAACCTGCATTGCTGTGCAATCGTCAACTAAACGGTAATACTGTGAACTGCACCATCCCTCCCAAAAAAAAAGCAAATATTTGACCAACTTAGAAAAAAAGACTAATTAAAAGAGAGTGAACGGCTCCGCGTGGCTTCGAGTGTCCGCTCCAACAACCAGAAGGACCAGAGGAGATAAAAACACCCGTCATCACTTCTCGCTCCTTTTCCTCCTGGACTTTTCACAGCTTCAAGTCTTTAGTGTTTTGTATTCCAAGTCCAGGAAACCCAGCATTTCCTCAACGATGATAACAGAAAAAAAAGAAAAAAAAAGCATCAATCTAACCGTAAACACGCCTTAGCTTAGATTCTGGGATGATCGTACCACTGTGGACCACAGACAAGGTTTCTGCACATTTAAAGAAGCTCCGCCCATCCTGATGCGTTTTACAAACATCTAGTAAATTCAGTAAATCACAAAAAAACAAAAAAAAAACACAAAAAAAGGGTAAGCTTTCCACTAAAAACTGTACACATTCTGGGAATAGTTTCTGCAGGAGCTGGAGCCCTTACATCGATGTAACGGGAGAACATCCTGTGTGTGTGAGATCTAAATAATGCTTCCTTTAGGCCAACAGGAGCCAATAAAACAATCAAATAAAAATGTTTTCTGGAGCCTTCTGAGCCCAGCATGTTCTAACTGTGTGCACAACTGAACAGGAGCTGGAAATCCTATGTCTGATGATGGAAGAAGATGTGATTAAAATAGGTTTCCAAGCTGCGGACGCTCAGTGTCGGGGTTCTACCAAAGTGCTGAACAAAAGACAGGGAGAGGGAGCAGTGGTGCGGGTCCTTGTTCAGTGGTCGGGACGTCCAAAGCGGTCACTTCTCTCCACACAGACCTGCGCTCACACACACAGACACACTAGGAACTCTGGTTAAGGCAGTGGTGGTAGGTGAGGCTGCAGTGAGGTCGGGGGCGGAGAATCGGTCTGTCGGGGCTCCTGGCAGTGAAAGCTTCCACTTCCTCGTCCTCCTAAATCCGTTTCCTCATCCCGCTCATCTCACCCGCGTCACTCAAATGACATCAGATTGGCTGGTACCTGGAGGAAAAAAATAAAATGTAGAATGTAGGAGACTTTCCTACGATGTACTCTGTGTTTTTTTAATATTTTTTTTTATTTACCTGTTGCCTGTTGCTCTGACAGGCAGCGCTAAGATGTTTGAACCAGAGCAGAGCGTTCATCCTGTTCCCTGCCTGGTATTTGTAGGTGTTACCTAGGCAACAGAGACAGGGAAATGTGAAATGAGTGTGATTTCCACCTGTGATCTCAGTGATTGGATGGCTGAAGAAGACTAGAAATAAGTAAAAATGTCTTAAATTAAGGTATTTACCCTTAATTTAAGTATGGATATAAGATGATTTGTCAATAAAATGAGTATTTTTACTCCAAAAATAAGATGTTTAGATAATATGCACTTGAAATAAGACAGGGCTCGATGTTAACCATCGCCCAATCTCCCAGGGCAAGTAGTTTTTATTGTCGGGAGAGAACAAATTTCATTGCATTTGCCCGCCGGGCAATGAACGCAAAAAAAATTATTTATCACTCAAAATTACTTTAAAATCACCGTAATTCGCTGAAAACGACCCACAAGCGCCATTTGTTGTTGTTTTGTACACTTTTTTGCGTGATTTGAAAGAGCTGCGTGATTTTCCGCTAGATGGCGTGATTCAGCTCTTGGGGAGAGAATTCTGCAGAGCAGCAGCTGGATGATGAATTTAATCTATACTATAATACATGCTAGATTAAAAATAACTGTATGCACACAGTGTAAATATTTCTATCATATTGCAGGCTTCTGTACAGTGATGCAGGTCATACATTAAAAAATGTTCTTAGACATTGGAGTGGTGCATTTAAATGTTATAGAGAATTTAAATTAAATTGTTAAATTGGTGAGTAGTAGTAGTGTAAGTTTTTAACCTGTCAAGTTTTATTTTTAACATTACAATTTATATTTTTCCAAGCACACAACAGTTTAAAGCAAAGTTTAGTTTGAAAAGAATGTGCAGGAAGGATTGAAAAGCATGAATTGTGCCATTACATCCGAACTCAAGTAATAGACTGCGTACCAGATACACACCAGGAACCTGGAAACTTAAAAAATACTGAATTACAAAAAACATTAAAAAAACAAACATGTTTCATTGATATATATACAAAAATGAATATTAGGAACTATATTTATCAAACATTATACTGGGCTAGTAAAAATTGTTTCTGGGCAAATGAAATGTGAAAGTGTAAAAATCCTTAACGTCAACCTGTAAGACAATGCAATGTTTTTTTTTCTTATTTTAAACGTAAAGTAGTCTAGTTCCTTTAAAAGTGTCTCACTTACCTCCTCAATTCAAGAAAAAAATGACTTATTTAGATGTAAATGTTTTGCAGTGCGCTGCTTGGCTTCTAACGAGCCAGTTAAATTGAAAAGGAATGCATGAAGGAAAGGCTGCTATTTTCACAAGGAAGACCAGATTTAAGAAGCATGCACGCACAGATTTATCTTCCTACATAAAACACAGCTTGACCAAAATTATTCTACTGAGGTCCCCTAAACAGTAAATAAAACTCAAAGCTGTTTCAGATCAAAGTTTGACCAAATACAGCATGTGGGCTAAATAAAACAAACATTAGCGGGTTTAGAGACGTATTCTTAGCGTGTCTGAGTCTCACCATGCTCCGAGTCGGTCAGCAAGAAGACATCAGGATGCTCTGGATCATCCGCCATCATGGCCATAAGGCCAACCACACACACGCTCTTGCTGGATGTGGACTTAAACTGACGGGAGAACAAATAAAACACACATTTAACTTAATGTCTCAGAATGCATGCAGTGCAGCAGGAGATCAGAACAAACAACATTTTCAGGGTTGTCATTCTTCAATGATACACCATTTGTAGATTTTTTTTTTATTTTTAGACCATCACAGCCTCAGCACGAAGACAAATGAGGAACATCAGGGTTTATTTTTTTTATTAACAGTGAATAAAACAGAACCCTGAGGTCTGCCTACATAATCATCTACCACATTCAATTCTGGGATTTACCAGGAAAACGTCTGTTTGTCAAATATGATCTATATTATCACACATGTGGATAAAAATGAAACCATCTGGCTAGAAAGACGTTTAACTGCATGACGGCCCAATAAAATGACTAAATAAACCATTTATAATAGCAAATTTACTTTGAAAAAGTTTTCCAAACATTTCGATAAAAATTGTTATTTTTAAAAACGTAAATGCAATAAACTAAATATAAAAAAGAATTTCTTTTTTTTCCTTTTATGATTAACAGGAAAAACCCCACTGATAATAGGTTTGCTAAATTTAAATACTGTTGCAATTAATTTCTTGCTATTATAAGCAATGCTGGTTTTATATTTATACTTTATGAGTTTTATAATCATATACACTCACCGGCCACTTTATTAGGTACACCTGTCCAACTGCTCGTTAACACTTAATTTCTAAGCAGCCAATCACATGGCGGCAACTCAGTG